TTATTAATTATCAATTATTAATTATTAATCATTAATTGATAATTAATTATTGATTAATAATTATCAATTATTGATTATAATTATTGATTGTTAATTAATAATATTATCATTCACCATTCAATATTTCACGTACATTCCTCTGGGATCGAGTTGGAAATAAAGAAGTGACAAAGTATTTGTCTTCTGCAGGGTCAATCCATTCCCTACTTTCACTTCTTATAAAAAAGAATTGAAGTTTTGCTGAATGATATCATTATCTCATTCAGCTATCTTTCCAAATGAATTATCATTTGATTCCCAGATCCATTTGAGAAATTGAGAGGATAGTTTTCACTTTTAGAACGTGACGTAGCAGCAGGGTGCAAAGCCTCTTAAGTAATAATTTTTTTCCTGCTGGTTCAGGCTGAAATTGTCGATTCGATATATCACTAAAACACTTTTTTCATAACATATATTTCCAGTACAAAAACAATGTGATAACCAAGTGTTGCCCATCCTTACACTTGGCTGCTCCATACTGATGATGGTTCAAAATCACGGAACACGTGTCTATGGTTTGACACTTTCTTGAATACTATGTACGATTATTAACTTCGGTATCTATATCAAGGCACTCAATATCCTCAATATTTGTATTATTTCCTGAACGCGGATGTCACGCAAGTAGCTATAGCTGCCTNGTCAGTAAAAATGCAAGAACGTATTCACTTTTCATATATGGAGACTGAAAAAAAAATTGGTGTGCATCAACTTTTTTAACGGGTTGAGTGGAACTAGATTGTTTGTTATTCGTGATTTTTTATGTATTAATCATTTTCAGGCTGGGGTTTTTCAAGTTGAATCTATTAGAGTTTCTGCTTCTGAAATGTATTTCTATCTACTTTAGTAGATATACAATTTATAGACCATAATGGTCAAATAATTTGATCGAATGTTGTTCTCATATCCATATTCATACTTAATTGATCTGAAATTAACGCCTCGGGCGAGTCATTACGGCCTGCTATTCAGTAGTGGCGATTCCGCTGAAGTATTATAAATATTGGTTTCATCTGAGTTTTGGTAATATCTGCTTTCCACAGGATTTCTTAATTAATATAATGATACATTTCTTAACTCGAATGTGTTTTGTTCATTCGTATCAAAACAATGCTTCATAGTTATTTCGAATCATTGAACAATATCTGCCTCAATCTAGAATCGATCGGATTCTCAATTAAAAACTATTTTAATTGTTCGAAAATAAGACACAAAATGATGTCATTATGCTCCCACGGCGTAATTCTTCGAATAAGCAATGTCCGAAAACATTAATGTAAAATATATTCATTACAAAAAGAGTTATTCAATAAAACATTTTCATTATATATTTGCAATATTTTTCAGTATATTTTTCTCTCTTCGGAATTGTGTTATGTAGTTTTTATTTTAGCAATAAGTCGTATAACTTGAATATGAAGACAAATAAAGACAAATACGTTCTATCACTCGTTCTTTATCAATGTGAGACATAGGCTCATATTTTTGTTATTCTAGAAAGTTTCAAAGTAATATGATAAGATTTTTCATTAATTTGATATTTAAGATAGCAAAATATACTCAAAGTGGTAAACGTTTGATATAAATATTTAAATTATTCTTTTTTTCAAATTATATGATAGTCGCTTCATCACTGATTGACTTTTAATCATATAATCAGTGCGCACATGATTAATCAGGAAATAAACAACTTTTTTCGAATTAACTATATAATATTTCCTTGAATCAATTGAAAGGAATATTCCTCCTACAATTGTTTCTTTGGTTTTCTAAAATCACCCATTTGGAAATTTATTGACCGAATGTAATCTTTATGTTGGTGAAATTTGTTAAAAATTTTTATGCGTGATATTGTGTTATAGCTCAATTGAGTGTCAGGAGATGACATACAAGTCCAGGTTCACAAATACAAAAATAATATGAAATTCTTATTTGAAATATAAGAGTGCCCAAGCAACGAGAATTTTCTGATTGGGAAAAAACTCGGTTTGTCTTTTAGACATATCTAATTATAACAGAAAAATGCAAATAACAACTTTTTTTTTCAATATCTTCACACACGTATCTGCAATTTTTTATTTCCTTTTTTCAAGTCCATTATACCTGAAGATGTATTTGATGCTTTAAGCTCTTTAAAAATGTGAACTCTGAAGGTGTTGACTGTCTCTCTAGGAAGGTGATCAGAAGTATAAATCTCCATATATCTGGGATTATAGCCCACATAATCGATTTTTCAGTTGGAAAAGGATCATTTCCTTTTAACCTCAAGATAGGAATTTTAAGTCAAATTTTCCATTCTCTCAAAACATAATGTCATAACAGAACACCAAAATGGTTTTCCGCAGGGAAAATCAAAGGAGAGAGCAACTATTGCGCTATTTAATTATATTAATTCTTCATCACATATGAAAAAGTACGTAGGTGCCTTATTTTTTGATCTGTCGAAAGCTATCGATTCAATTAATACCCATATTACAATTAATAAACTAAGTGAACTGGGTTCCCGTGACAAGTTTCTTTCGTGGCTGGCTTCATATCTTCAGGCCAGAAAAATTATTGTAAGAATTGATAATCGGAGATCTCTCCNCTTTCAGACACAAACTGGAAGAAAAGCCTCTTCGAAACAGCAACTTTCATATAAACATTGAATCATAGGAAAGGAAAATACTTCCCAAACAAATACTTTTATATGAACACTGAATTATACAAAAAACACTTTTCTCTCTTCAGTTTTTATTCCAAACATTCGTAACGGAATCGAATCAGATACAATTCACAGGATTGCTACACAATATAGTACATAAAAAGGTAAAATTTCACAAACATGGAACACTGTCATCATCACTAGTAGACATCGATGTTTCGCCGTGAGACACTTGCCTTATCGGCTCTTCAGCACCAAATCTGGATAACAGTTCGTGTCTGAAAGTTATTTCATTGCATGACCTACACATCTTTTTGAAATTGATTGCTTCCTTTCTATCTTTGGAAGATTCCTACATTATTTTTTTTGTATAACGATTCTTTCTATTCATTCAGTCGACCGTTATATGGAACAGTGGTTTGAGCCCGACAGCCGGTCGATCGATTTGCACTGCGTATGGTCCAACTAGTGCTAGGCATTGCATATAATAAAATCTTGTTAATTCTTTACTTGTATAGTTTTCGACCGAGAGTTGTCTTCCGTAAGAGGGCGATACAGATATTTGGAAGATTTTCAATCATTTCAACTCAAAATTTCAAGTTCAAAGTCAGAATTTCAAGTTCGTAGTCGAAATTTTGAAGTGAAAATAGAAATCTTAACTTAAAGTCAAATTTTCAACTCTAGGAATCGTGATTTCCAAGTAACAGAAAATCAAAATTTGTGACACTTCTGAGCTTCCGTACTAAATATATAGTTAGTGTAGTGAATAGTATTTTCAGAACATTCAGGTTCTACTTCAAGATTAATAAATTAATACGCGATCCGTTGAATATCAATGATATTTTTCTGACTGATTCGGCCGTTACCTGATGAAGATCCATATTAATTTCATAAAATACACCTTACGATTTGACTTTGACAAAAATGTATCACATGTTTCGCTATCACAGTGAATTTTTTGTAGTCTACGAAATACGAAACTGCAGTAACTTTATTTACAAATACAAGTGGTGAAAAACATAGAATGTTTAATTTCCCATTTTCCATGATATTTTTTTCAATTCTGCCTCTTTATGATCGAAACATTTAACCAAAAGAAGCAAAATTCCATAACACAATAATATGTGAAGCGTAATATGAGAAACTTATCGAATTATACTTTAATTTTCATTAACAATTACATGAGGTTAGGTAATCCTAACTCAACATCAA